TTCACTTGAGTAAGCTGTAATTTTTTATTTACTCTTATCCTTTCGATAACAATGGAATTTTATTACTATTATACCTTGTGTATTGCCCCGTTTACATTGTCCTTATTGTTTACCCTACAGGGCAATCGAGGAGCTCGTTGAGCACAACTTTACCTGTTGGAGACAAGATGATCAAAATAGGTGCCAAGGGGCGGAGGCGAAATTACGCGAAGTGGAGGAAGTGTATGTAGATTTCTTCAAATTTGACTGGTTTTAATTTATTTGCTTTTTTTTTGAAGATTAACGTCCACTTTGGGTTTATTGGCGTCGCAACTCTTAATAGTACTCAATGAATTGGACAGAATACCTTTGTTTTTATTTTCAATTTTACCTTTGCCTACCCTAACTCTGCCTCAATACAGAAGGGCACAATTTTTATCTTGCCTCAGTTTTGTCGAAATCAATTGTATTGAAAAGAAGAGACTAGTAAATATACACACATGCCAAAGTTAAACGACCCGCTGGTGTATCCGAATGATTACAAGGCAACCATCATTCTTTATATCTCAGGGCTTAAGGGAAATTCATTAATGTGCTATAATTATTTATTTCTGAACATTCCTCATCCCATTATTGTCAACCAGTGGGCTTTCTCCATAACTAGTCGCTAAAAATATCTGAAACGCTAACTTTTAATTTGCTGAAATCCTTTTTTTTGAGACGAATTCGAAACTGTTATAGCACTTAGTTGTAATGCCTTATTTGTTTACAAATGAGCTATCTATGCTTAGCAAATAGTGTCAATTATGTGACATTCCATATAATTTTCGTATTATTTTGCCTAGTACTTATTACTTTTATCACGTTTTTAGATCCATCTTTATTCTTTTATGATAACCACGTTTGTAGAATAATAACGATTTATCCTTTGATCTTATTAAGGAGTCAAGTATGACTATCTTAAGCCTGCTGATGTTAAACGCATCAGAATTTCTGATGGTGCCATTCGCGAAGCTCCATACTTTGGTCTTTGTATGATTGCGTTCAGCTTTCGTTTTTCATATGTTATGCGTTGTCAAGCCTCAACATACTGCTAGTCTCATTGTATCATAAACAAAATGTCTTCAAGTTTTAGCAGAAATCAAATGAATATATTCTGATAGTTGTATCAGCATAAATTTTCCATTAGTGTCAGGTAATCTACATTAAGGACAATTTTTAAATGAACTTAAGGCATGTCAAATTTGTTGAGCTGAGTTTCTTGTCGCATAAGCACATTGCTCAGAGTAATATTACTATGCAAATACTTGATACAAATTAATATTTTATTCATCTCCAACTGATTTGGTTGCCTTGTAGTAGATGCACTCGTAAGTTGTCTTGAATTCTTGCCTCCTGGTTCTTTGAGTTTCAGCTATTTTTCATGTCCGAAACAGCAGAAATAAGCAGATAAGATTCTAAATGATGTCTCATTTTATTCTTATTTATTCTGGTTTTAGACTGGGTCTGCTGGTACATGCATGGTGTATATTCTAAGTGTTACTTCTTCATCCGAGAGTTAAATTTGCTTGTGCTCAGGATCGTCCGCTTAATAGGTTGCTTACACGATCATTGATTAAACGAATGACAATGTTAAACAATCTGAACTTATTACTTCTTAGTTTCTTCTGATAGAGACTATCCAGACTCCTCTTTATCTCTAGCCTTATTTAGAAATAATTTGGTATGTAATCTTTATGGAAACACTTACGAGTGACTTAGCTGTCTATTTAATTTGATATTTCATTTCTATAAACCTTGTATTCTGATTAGTAAACGTTTCTTAACTCCCATTTTTAAAAATGAATGGGAATAAATCTATCCATGGGGAGCAATTATATTCTTACGTTTTCATAAAACCATAAAATTGGCATTATTGTTTGTTCTATATTTATCTAAGCTTCACTTAGTTTTCTTATAAACATGCATACAACTATGGATAACCTTTATGCTAGTGCTGATTGAGTGTAGATTGCTGAAAGTATATCCTTTAATATTAAAATGCAAGATTTGCTATTAGCATTGAATACAGGCAAAATCCTAAAGGCTCCTATTTTGTGTTTTTGTTTGTCTAAACAATCAGTTGCTAACAACTGTAGACCATTTGCATCTGATTTTCGAAAGTAATATAATTCGTATTTTATAGCAAGGTTATCTTGTTTCCATGGTCATTTATATCGCTGTATGTATAGAAAACTGAACTTTTAATTTTACAAGGTGTTAGTGTTATCAACTTTCGATGAAATTCTAAATTTTTCCTCTTTTTTAAACAATTTTTTGGACAACGCTCCCAAATATTCACTCGTATTTCATCATTATGCCATTTTTTTAAACCCGCTTTAGTCACATAGGTGCAGAGGAGCGCATTCTTCGCCGAGGAAATAAAGCGCGCCTGGACATATCTAGCTGCTCTTTGGCTTCTAGGACCCCTCTTCAGTCAAATCCGCCTGACGTTCCGCCAAATATTTTATCCACCTCTGCTCTGACCACAGCACAAGCTCCAAATCCAAATCTTGATGTCGACTCGGTACTCCAGTTCGACGATGAGGTGGAAACACGGTCAGTTAAAGGTGCTACCACCGTGGCACAGAAATCACATCGTCGTAAAAGCAACCGAGATAATGAGATTTCAATTTCTGCCGCCCCTTTAGGAATACAAACAGCTGCTGAAACTGGTTTCGATGACAATATTAGGGTTGCCAAAAAACATTTGATAAAATCAAAAGGACTTGTTAAAAATTCGTCTGTTTCTCGGCCGTCTGTCTCACCAAAAAGAGATTCCTGTTCTTTCTCACCTTCGTTGTCCTCTGTCCCTTCTTCCAGATCGTCCCCCTCCCCTTCTGCTTCCACCTCTCCTACTCTCTCGCCTTCAAGAATTGGCGATCTGCAAAAACGAAGTGGGCCATCTGATAATGAGCGTGCTTTTTCAGTTATTTCAGTCCCCGACAAGAACATACATCGACTACATCAGAATGGGTCCGAATGCAGTAATTCTGACGAGGAAGGAGTTCCACATCAACCGATATTCCAATCTTCCCAGGGTTCACGGCTCCAACGATCCTCGATATCTAGGAGTCCTATTTGTTTCGATAAAGGTACTTGTCTCTTTTCATTTATAAGTCTATAAAACGATTCAGCATAGTTAAGCTGAACGTATGAAGCATAAGTCTGTCTTTGATGTACACTCTTCAGCTCTACCTACCGATGAAGACTATCTATCATGAAAACTGACCTTAGCTTCTTGTAATGATCAAGAATTAAATACTAGCAAAGCTGAGAGTATTACCGAAAATGAAAGTACTTTGTTATTATCGTATCATCATTAACTGCTAGTTGGAAGCCTGTACAATTAACATAAACATATTCTTGTACGATATTTTGTGATGCATTGTTTTTAATTCCATGCATCTTAGCTATGAAGTTTTATAATTCTGGTTTAAATAGTATGTTGGCTAGTCATGATGACTATTCATGACAGTTTATTCTTTTGTCTTAATTAACTACTTGGATAATTTATAATAGGTAAAACTGGTTGGTTTCATAATTTAAGAGCTATACAGGTGTGTTATGTGAGTGTACATTCAGTCGCTTTGGGTAGTAAGGGCTACCTTGGGTTTTCCGCTATTCATGCTTTTATAGCTGTAGACTGATTTTTTATGTTATCACATTTATGTAGTGTTTGGTATTTTTTATGGCCATATGCAAGTAAGAATTTGCTTTAATTCTAGCTAAAATTTGACGATTATATTGAGTTATCACGTATTTTGCACATGCTGGCAAGTATTGTTCGTATCACTTGAGCAATAAAATGCATTACTAGACGAAATTCGAAAAAAATATTGTTTATAATAAATTTAATTTAGCTATCCATAGACATAATGAACTGATATAAAATGGGGCAACAAGAAATTTGTGTTATTGAATACTCTTTGTTAGTGTTATTCAAGTTTGACTAGTTTATACATGCATATTCAACTCCCATCAGCTTCATATCAAATTACACAACTGAATATCACCACTGATAATTTTGGGACCTTGTTAGCTTTTTGGACTGATTTTATAATCGTTTTCGTCTGGCTACTTTCATTGGAATAGACACCAATTTTTGGCATGGTGGCTCCGGATAAAATGCTAGCATGATATTACATCCTCTTTGCACTGTAGCGAGGCTTGCAAGGAAGAAAAATATAAATTTGGATAAAAAATTCGAGCAGAAAATTAGTCAAGGGGATTTTTTTCACTTGTCACTGATAAGTTTGAATTCTGTGCGGATAATGGCACCTCTCATTGGCGATGCCGGTGAATGTCAAGTCAATGATCCGATGCTGTAAATCATGAATAATATGTCAGAGAACACAGGACTGTGTACGTTCTACAGGGTCTCCCTGACGCTCCGATCGAGTTGCGAAAACGAGGTCGAACCAACACTTAAAATCATTTTGTTCGCCCTATAAGGTTTAGAAAAAGT